CCGGGGCCCGGCAAACGTGTGCAGGAGGCGTCCCTGACGCGCCGCGGTGCCGGCCTTTGGGGCGTCCGGCGGGGGAGCTCCCACCAAGAACAGCCCCGGCCCCGCGCCGCTCACGCCGCCCGCTTGTGTGACCCGCTGCCCCAGAGCAAGTCCGGCCCCAGACTCCGGTAACCTCGCCGCACATCCCCGGCCCCCGGCCGGGCCTCCCCCAGGCACAGGCCGAGGTGCCCTCCGCCTCCCGCCACGCCTTCTACCAACTCCCCCTGCCTGCGCCTCCCCACGCGCATAAAATCCGACATGCCCCCCTCCCCACTCATCAGCCGGCCAAGGGGGAGGGGGGGGGGGGCGGGCGGGCGGGCGGCTGCGGCGAGAAAGGCTCAACCCAAGACCGAGGCGGCCGCACCACACCTCAGTCTCGGGGGCACGAGGGGGCGCGGCAGGCCGGGAGAGCGCCGACACACGCGCCCGCACCACAGGCTCTGGCCCCTTGCTTGGGCCCCGGCCCGCCGGCCGCCGGCCGCCGCCTGCCGCCCCGGGAAGGGAGGCGGCCAATAACAATAAATATGTGCCCAACGCATGTGTGCGCCCGGTTCAAAATGCACTCTGTATATTCCCGCTCACTTTCTCTCGGCGCTCTTCGCTGGGCCTGCCGCCCTGGCATCTGGCGAACGCCCCCTCGCGGTCCTCCGTCTATAAGAAAATTGGGTTTGGAGGAGCCGAAGCAAGCGCGTGATATAACACGTAATAATGGCTGACTGGATGGGATCACGTCCCTGTCTTAACTGCTTCGCCGATGGCCAGGCAGCCTAAACCCGCGAACGAGGGCTTGCCTCCTGCCGGCCTTCTTTTCCGGGGCGGTGGGGGGGGGGGGGGGAGAAGCAATCGCCTCCTCGTACCCCCCCGCAGCCGTGTGGTCCGATCTCTGTGTTTCCCTCCTTTTTCTCCCGCCCTCTCTCTCGGTCTCCCATTCTGTCTTTGCGGTTTCCCTTCGAGAGATCGGGCGTCCGTCGCTTCGGCGCATCTTGCGGCCGTGGCCATCTAAACACTCCGAGTCAGGCGTCCCCTTTGCCACCGGGTGTCACACTGCCGGCTTGTTCAGGCGCTTCCGCAGCATGCGCCAGCCTTTCGTGGCAATCGCCCGCCGTGACAACACCAGCAAGGCAAAGGAGCGCGAGAGCGCCGGCGGGAGGGAGGGGGGGCGCGGCGACAAGAGAAGAGGCAGACGGAGAGACGCGCAAAGGAAGAGCCGGGCCAAGGGGGGGGGGGGGGCCAAACACAGCGGCCCGGCCGAAGAGCACGCAGGGAGGCATGAGCGTGCCGATGTCCCTGACAGGTACGCCATTCGCGCATGCCTGCAACGCCGATTTCCGGCACTCCGCGCCTGGGCCCCCATGCTGCTGCTTATGCTCTTACTATGGCCGGTGCTGCTGCTGCTGCTGCTGCTGCTGCTGCTGCTGCTGCTGCTGCTGCTGCTGCTGCTGCTGCTGCTGCTGCTGCTGCTGCTGCTGCTGCTGCTG